CATCGATCAAAGGTGTCACTAGTCAAATTTTTTGAAAACAAATAACCGTCATCGTTCCACCAAACAACTACAGAATGATGCGCCGCCATTAACAATGAAATCACTAAATCTAATTGGTCTATTGAATCATCTCCGAACACCTCTCTCAAAAATAAGAATGTTTATTGTGTATCGTGTGAATTGAAGGGCAAACAGCAACGATTGCTACAAACAATGCGAATGAACAATCATTATCAGCACAACAACAGAGGTCGTCATTTGAGCAGAGACTCGAAACCTTGTTCCATACGAATTCTGCTGCGAATCAGTCGGTAAGCGAATTGTCTTTTTTTTGTTAAATTTCATTTCTCTCCAAAATCATCAGCTGAAAATTTTCATACCAAAAACTTTGTATAATTAAAGAATAATTTCTTTTCTATATGTTGAGAGGAAATATTTCATATTGTTCCATAGTGCAATATCTTTGTCGAAATGTTCAATCATTTTCAGTTGGAAAGTGTGTGTAAAGAATCTCCACAAACACCGTCGATTGGTACGCCAGCATCTGTATTTACACCAGGTCTGGCGATTTTTTTTTCACCTGGTTGTTTTTTATCTCTTCTCTGGAATTCATCAACAACCTAATGAGAAAGACAGAGGGATCAATCCCTTTCTCTAAATTGAGCAATACGGAAAAATTTTGGTATGCGAAAATAGAAATGACTACGAGAATTCATGACCGAGGTAAAAAAAATTGAATCGCGTAAGATTGAAATGTTCTGTTAATTCATTATTGCATATGAGTATCGTTTGCTTTTAGTTATGTGTGATAGTTCGCCTGCAGTCACTCCGAATTACGTCGATCAGTCAACAAACGTGGCCTCACGAAGAGCGGAAAAGATCAATAATACAGCGGTGTAAGTTGAATGAATTGTCATCTGAATAATTGCTTTTTGTAGATTAACGCATATTACATGCGNAAGGGAACATAGCGAAGTATTGCAAAGCATTGATTACTTGTGATCTGTTCAGAGAAACATGCTCAACACCACAAGGACATTTGACGGGCGGCAGCACACATTTCAACGCAACGAACCTTTCAAAACCAGCATCGGTAAGTCAAAGCAAGCCAGATCCATTTGCTTCAGTCAGTGCTTTTGTCTAGCCAATTCCCATTGGAATGGTTCATTGTACATTCACTTCAGAGCAATATTTCGAAGATAGTGAAACAGTTAAGTTTCCGAGGGTTAAAGTATGTATTTGATCGTATATTTTAGATGGATACAGTATCGAAGATTGATCGAAGCCGATCCAAAGAAGCGGAAGAAGATGCGGAACGGCGACGAAAAGAGGAGCAAGCAAAAATTCTGGAGGCTATCGAGAGGGAACGCGATCGCTTCGAGCAAGAGAAGAAATTGGCTGAAGAACGGGAAGCAAGAAGACGAGAACATGAAAGGAAGTTGGAGATTCAGAGGAAGGTATGTTATCAGGTCTCGTTTCATTTGAGTATGAAGTTTGATATTTATGATCATATCATTCAGTTATGAACACACGTGTAATAGTTATTGAGCAGTGGTGTTATTTTAACTGGAAATTTTTATGCGAATTTTGATCAGAAGTGAGAAATCCCTAGAATAATTTAGAACTGAAGTGCTTCTTTTTCCTTCGAAAATTTTTACAACTCAAAAAAATTTTGCTTCACTTCATCGATTGATCATTTTTCAGCGTGCTATTCGTGGCAAATGTGTGGATAAAATGTTCGAACGTCTCTATACGGATCTTAGCGCGGTGCTCGTCAAAGATGCACTGCGTAAAATGGAACTGTTAGTGGTGGAGAAGCTGGAAGTGTCATGGGCAAAGTCATTGGAAGAACAAAATGAAAAGGTGAATTAATGATTCGTTGGCAATTTGTTCGTAAACTGTTGAGATTGCCGTCGTTAGGTTTTGGTATTAGGGCTAATTGAACTCAGTGCAGTGTAGTGCAGTCAGCTTTGCGATTTTACGATGTAATCCGTTTGGATGTTTGGATTAAAAGCATTTTATTCATAGGTGAAAGACGAGAATAAAGGAACGACAACGGCTGAAAGTGGTAAAGCGGTATTGAAAGGACCAAGAACACCGCCCGAAAAATCAGTACTGACCCCGAGGTTTGTTCGTGAACTATCTGTGGATTCATTCGTGTGTTTCTTTACTTGACTGCTCGTATTCTTTACTTGATTATTCGTTTCTAGTTGATTCTTTGAAAAGAGTCGCATATTACGATTTTGTATATTTCGAAGTGAAATTTCAGTTCGAAAAATTCGCTCAATGAAATGGTACGTAAGGTGGCAGCTCAGTCAAAAGCCGAAATGAGCGCAGCGTTCGGGCCAGAAGCGGCCGGGATGCTTGGAGCAGACTTCTTGTTCCAAGGATTTGGTGCCATTCGAAATATGCCCTCATTCAAGAAGAAAGTGGTGAAGCCAGCAGTGACGTCTTCGCTGTCGTCGAAACGTGACAAATCGAATGATTCGTCACGCAGAAGTCGACGTGAGCGTAGTGGCAGTGTGAGTAGTCGGCGGAGTGATGCGGACTCGTCGGGCAGTTCATCGAGAAGCAGCAGTTCATCGTCAAGCGCGACCACAAGTCGTTCGACAACACCGGCAAGAAGCGAAAGCGCCAGTAGAGCATCGTTACGTGACACTGAGTTGGAGAAGCAAAAGAATCGTGCGAGCAAATCGTTGAAACAGCGATCCAATCGAGAGTGAGTTTCTTTGCGAAAATTTTCGGTGATTCTCGATTCGATCTGATAGTGAGAGCAATCTTTATTGAATTTAAGAACAACCAGGAATTTCATTTTTTTAGCTTTTTCAGAAAACGAAACATCCACCCATATATACTTATCTCTCTTAGATGTTTCGTGAGGTGCTAAAATGTGCGATTCAGAAGGTAGTTGTTCAATGTAGAATGTTAAAAAAAATGGGCAAAAAAAGCATTCCTTTGTATCTTTCGAACTTGAATACCTACTTTAGACATCTTCTGTAAATGTTGATCAAAATTGAGGTGTTATCGAAATGCTCAAAGTTTTCAACTTTCAGCACTGAGGTTAGTCGCACGGCACGGAAAGATAGGGTTGATTCAGCGCC